TGCCCCTTGCACCGGGTGAGTAAGCACAATAATCATGGCAATTATACCACGGGGATGGTGATAAACACCACGAGCACGCCCGATCTGATACGAGACCAAGGATCAGTATGAGCGGGACCTCCRCTRCAGACACCCTGGCGGTATAACGGCAACCACCCAGCGAAGAGCAGACACCACTGTTCGAAAATYCAGCATCAATCCCTTCAAAAAAACGGTCCTCACCGAAGTACGGGCATCACCCGGTCCTCCTTTGCATAACAGCGGCCCTYCGAGCAGTATGACTAGTACAGCGACCCCAGCCACCTCTGAAGACCGCTGTACCAGCAGCCCCGCAGGGGACCACGATAATCGGTTTCGTTCTTAATCAGCAACTTCCCAGGCCCAAGCCGGACCACAGCGGCAACCTGGCAGCGGCAGTACCAAGTGAAACAATGTAGCAGCTCATCCGAACTGTTGTCTCAATCCCCAAAGCTGTTCAGTAATCAGTAACCCGACCGCCAGCCTTGTGATGGTGGCTGTCCACTTGCGCTTGAAGCAACGACAATCCTGATGCTGTTAGCGACGTGTAGTAACTCTTCTACAGCGGTGGCTAACACCGCAGCAGTCAGACCTACGAYGACTGCCCCSTTATGAAKCGTGTCTGAGAGGKACGCTGATGGCCGTAACCACAYAAGCTACCCGCAATCCCGTCGTTACTAGCAGTCCGGGAATGAACTTGCCCGCCGGGTACAGCCAAGTGCATTCACCTGAGACATACAGTTGTTATTTTGGAGAATTTCAAGGTCTCGTCAACTGCAACCTGCACGACGAGGGGCATCGTTGTGGTAAAGGTACGCACAGTTACGGCCCTGTCTCTTATACACATTTAGATGTGTATAAGAGACAGGTTACTAGCAGTCCGGGAATGAACTTGCCCGCCGGGTACAGCCAAGTGCATTCACCTGAGACATACAGTTGTTATTTTGGAGAATTTCAAGGTCTCGTCAACTGCAACCTGCACGACGAGGGGCATCGTTGTGGTAAAGGTACGCACAGTTACGGCCACTGCCGTGGCTACCAATGGCAATCTGACTACCATGGGTGGCAGCGGAATCACCGCCTGGAGCAACAACGGGCTTTGAGGTGACGAGCAAACTCTCAGCTCGGCCACGGGCGGCAAGTCCACCAGCAGGTAAAAGAGATTCTCGATGACAGAAACGATGATCCAGCCGGTGTGAACCACGCCCACGACCCCTCGTGGCCTAAAATCCCGTTGGTGGTCACTTCGAAGAACCGCCCTCCACTGCTCACCAAAGTGCTCAGATGAGAATGAACCTTCCCCAGAAACATGGGAAGATGCATCACATATACTCGTAGTACCAACCTTCACCCCTTAGCGCAGCTCCCGACTTACGTAGCACTGAAACCACAGCTCCGATGCGGCATCTGACCCTAACAACGGGCTCGCAATGGCAAACAACCCCCTACTAGAGTTCTCCCTCGCCCGACTCGAGTCAGGAACGGGCGAGATACACCTTTTTCCATGCCACCATATCCAGCATCTTTTCCCCTCCGCGCACGCTTTTTCTTCTTCTACCGCTCCTACTAACTCTACACCAAAACTATCTTCATAGTTGGTCTCGCCTCCCCTCAAAACCCCGAGAACAACTCCTGGTTCGCCCGACTCCGTCAAGGATCGAGCGAACTAGCGTTTTGTGGTCCGCCATGTTCATCCCTCCGTCACCTCCACTTGCGAATGGACCTGGCGCATAAATGCGTCCAGATGCACTCCCCTCTGGTCTACGCCTAAACCTCGTTCCCCCACCCCCTTGCCGCTGAGTACCCTCCCGCCTGGCACCACTTCCTCCTACCTAGTAGTAACGCACAACCTCACAGTCGTGCACCAACTCTCCTTGCTGCCCCGCTAACGGCGGGTGCCTCTCTCTCTCTCTCTCTCTCTCTCTCTCTCTCTCTCTCTCTCTCTCTCTCAACCCTCTGTCGCCATTCCCTGCCCGCTCTCATAGCGCAGCGCCTAGTGGTTTGGTCGAGCGGAAGCGTAGTAGCGACAGCCCCCGTATGCCACAACCGAACAGCAAGGCCGGCCGCTCCCCGGCTTTATGCATGTTGTCCTTGCGCAGGGGCCATGCTAATCTACTCTGTATCGTTCCAATTCTAACGGATGTCCCGCAGGACCACGGCCACAGAGCACAGATGCCCCAGCAGCCCGTGGCTGTATCCACAGGACTAGGCTGCTGGGCTTCTCAACAAGCCCCGGCCCCGGCACCAGCCTCATCCAAGCGCAGACAAAAAAAAAAAGGTAGGAATAGAAAGACAAGTATATACAAAAATAAAAATAAAAAATTAATAAAATAAGAAAACACGAACGGGGGAGGGGGGCCGATTGTACATAGTCCCAGCCTCACGGGCCCGCGGCTGGACTCCCCTCAGCAAAACCAAGGGGGATAGTCCCGGGGGACCCTCAACCCCTCGGCTTTCTTCACGCTGCTCCGCTGCTCCGCTTTGCTGCCCACTGGCCTCGACCCCCGTATCTCCGCTGTAACAGTCCGGCACCGTAACCTATAGGGCTAAGCCCAAGCCTGGTACTGGCCAGCGCGGTATTCCATATGAATAGGTGCGGCGCAGCCCCCAGGCCTCATGCCTACCTCCCATCAGACACGCTACTGCTAGGCTCCTACGCCGGCTTGCCCTCTTTGTGCCGTGGCCGCCCCGCACCCTACTTCGCACGTTAGACTACCAACGGTCACCTATCCCTGCCAAGGGCACCCCTGACTCCTAGTAGCCAGAGTCAGGCCGGCCAACTAYGCCGGTTGCATAACCCAAAGTAGGAAAATCACACGCGTGCCTTAATCCCGCGCCCCCACACCCGCTCTACTCTAATCAAGCAACTTACCTACGTAACCAAACAGACCTAGGCGCGTCTCGCGCGATACACTTTAGACCTCTACTCGTACTTCCGGTCACTTGCAAAAACAAGGGCGGATACCCTTGCACCGACAGCTTACCGGACCATATAAAGCGACGTCCCCGTCACTTCGCCAAATCGAAAGCTATAAATTCCGCCATAACTCCAAATGCTGACGAGACAGAAACCAATCCGATCAGCCGACAGACTCAGGGTTGAGGCCTCCAACAATCCAAGCCCTAGTAACCTGGGTCTCCATTGTCCTGACACTAGGACGCCGGTGTACTAGACATACGTACTACAGCATAAGTCTTAGCGGCCCCTCTTACCCGTCCTCTCCCCTTTGTCCTAGACAATCGCCGGCTTCTCGTTAGGTGCCCTCGGCCCCTATCCTGCGAACAGGACTTCGACCAAGGGCGCGGGTGCTAACCGAGACCTAAGAAGGCGTTTTCGCCTTCCTCCCACAATTTCCGCAATCAAATACATGTATATATATATACAAATCACCTCAACTCACCTCCTGCAGTCTAGTTTAGGAAGGCTAAGTCTCCATCTTGGCCCACCGTAGTCTGGGTGATCGTGCCAGGTCTACGACCCACCGCACTTGTTAGTTCAGCGGTAGTGCCCTCGCAGGTTGCGCCGTGATAGGCTTTCTCCTCATAAGCATTCAATCAGGACTCAAAATAAAAGACTCGACTCGACCCTTATCCCACGCCGGTCCGCAGGAGTAAGACCCTCCTAGGTGGCCACACCCCTTTAAGTCTTTACTCCTTAGGCCCGATGTAGGCCCGCTAGTCAGGTTGTGCCGATCAGCAGCCGACACTAGGGGTTGCGCCCTAGTGATGCTAAACTCTACCGTTAGCTTGGTATTCTCATACATGTTCCAGGATTAGCACATGTGGCTGGACGGTGGGTCGCAACAATACAGGCCCATCGCGGGACTACGCAGAGGCCTGTCACACATAAAAGGTATTTACCAGCCCTCTGTGGGACAACACAGGGGATCGTCGCAACCTCTCCACATTTACAAACAGCATCACCGCCAGTTGCTCAAGGCCGTGACTTCCTTACTTGATCAGAGCAGGAAGCCACGCATCCCAGTGACATCTCCCAAAAGAAACTATTTGCGACCTCTTCAAACTCTCAACAGTGGCCAAGCAACAAAACATGGTCCTTCTCGTCAGGCTTTATCATACCAACCTTGCTTACCATGCCACTGATCTGGTAACCACCCTTCATACGAGGGAGGTCTCACTCCATACGTCTCCCAGCATGCAGCGGGTTGCCTCCTAAAAAAACCAGGCACCCCTACCATAACACAACTCAAACTTGAGAGACCAACTTATGGGTCCTCATCACAACTCAACAACATACATTCGGCATGGCAAGCATCTGAGTCTTAAGGACTCACAAATCCATGGGATTCTTATACTTTCACAAGGACAGACTGCACTCCCTCTCCTTATACATGGCCCCGTTACCTGCCCGCGGGCAGATCGCACAAGTATACCGGAGAGTAGGCAGTTCACATACATTCCATTCGCACGGTGCACAACATTCAAGATGTCGTTCATACATTCAACATTCTGCATAAGAAGATTCAAGATGATAGATTCTTGACTCTAGTGCGAAGGCACCTGTATAAGATAAAGCGGCCTCTTATACGGTCGGTCGCTTTTTACAAAGACGAACACATTGCATTTTACAATGCCTTCGGCCCTCTTCTATCCAATGTGGTACTTCATGAGCTTGAGAAATTTGTCATGCGACTGAAGAGCATTGCCGATAGAGGGTCGTCGATAGAGAGGGCAACAGGATAAATCCACACATGTGAGAGTGAGTGTGATCGTCATGTAAGAAAGATAGTCTCAAACCCCACTCAACTCAGATATACACTAAGAGATGAGATATCTCATCCAAAAATCCACAGGGTATCCTCGTAAAACAACTCACCCCACCCTGAATATAGTACATGGTTATCTGTACAGGGGATCCCCAAAACAATTCAGTATTCTATTGCCACTTAGTGTACGTCCCCTATTTTACATGATCCTAGTTACAACGGCCATCCCATGTCGTAGGTCCCATCTACACACTCAACGTCGTAGGTGTCCACCCTACCTAAGTAATAGCAAAATCGTCAAAGAAATATCCTGAACCAGACCCTACTCACTCATCTCTTCCTGGTTCTGCCTGTACAATTGAGCTCTACCCCCATCTACAGCTCGTTCCACCATTCTACCCTGCCTATCATACATCTTACCATCATACTCCGAGACCTTCCCGTCTGCTTGGTCCTTWAGGAATTTGAGGCACTGCAATGCCCTGTGCTCTTCTTTCGTACAATAGAAGCAGGTCGAGTCAAAGGACTTCCTAGGCCTTTTCTTCTTCCGTTGGGGTCCTGCTGGCGATGGGGTTTCCCTGGTTTCTCCGTCCAACTCATGGCACTGAGGCACATCTCTGGGTGTCTCAGATCCTGCTTCCGACTCTCGCGGATTGGGCCCTGGTTGCGCCCTTGCTCTCTCTACCTCATAGTCAGGAGTATCCAACCTCTGGGGCCTGCCTGCGATGATGCCCTCCATTGCACCTCCCATCTCGCTCTCCAGGGGCTCTTCCAACTTGGACTCTGGCGAAAACAAGCCAGCATCCTCCTGCATAGAGTGGACTGCTTCCAGTAGCACGTCCAAGGATCCTCCTGTCGAGCCTTGGGGAGGCTCATCACTGGCCGAGGGCAGTCTCTCCTCAAGTGGCGGTGGCATGGCAGGGTCTGCAGCCATCGTGGGTAGCACCGCAAGCTTTGTAGGGGCTCTGAATTCGAAGGCTTCCCTCTCAGCCTTCCTCTTGGCCTCTGCCTCCTCAAGCTCAAAAATGACTCTTCCCATAGGTGCCTCTTGCTGAGGCTCGGCCACAACTGGTCGCTCTGATACGCCATGTCTTGGCTGACTCTGCCCTCCTGGCCTGCTACTCTCCGCCCCATCCCTGTTGCCATGGAGTTGCTGCCTCAATTCCAGGATGGTGGCGGCCTGGCTAGCCACCAGAGCCCTGAGCTCACAGACTTCTGTCTCAATGGCCCCCAACCGTGACTCCAACCCTGCTTCCTTCAGTTCCTTCCCTCTCAGATCGGCCTCCAACATCATATGCATGTCGAAGGAGGTCTTGGATACGGAGCGAATCCTCTGATCCAAATACTCATTAGCTCTCTGTGACATTTCAGCCTCAGCCTTGCCTGGGGTCGTCAACCCTTCGCCATGACGAGCAAGAAACTCTCCCCACATCTCCCGGAGCCCATATGGTTTATAGGGCGGTGGCGGACTTGGGAGCACCCCTGCTGCTTCCAATATTTGCCCCTCCTGCCGGATTTCCTCCCAGCGTCTTGCCACTCTAGCCCGCTTCTCCTCAACCGTTTCTTTCGTTGGTACTTCCTCTACCGTGCGTTGTTCGACTTCCCCTGAGATCCCCGTTTCCACCTCTCTCTCGGCCTGGCTTGGTTCCCGGGGTGACTCCATATGACCTCTTGCAGATTAGGCTGCTCCAGAGCGTGGGCGGCCAGATGGCTATTAATCAGACTGTCTGCCTCCCTCCTCAGGCTGGCCCTCTCCACCTCACTTGCCTCCATTCCTGTCGGCGATAAGGCTGTCTCTAGTACCGAGATCGAGACTTCCTCCCTTTGTACTTGCTTCCTCGTATCTGGCGGGCTCTCGAGTGGACTACCGAGCCTCAGCCTCACGGCTGGTCCCTGAGGGGGAGTACCTTCCTCAACTTCTATGATCTCATCCCCAATCCGGTCTTTCGTAGCACTCGGCTCTTCCTCCTGTTCAGGGTCTGGAACGTCCTCCTGCGGTACTTCCGCGACGGCCTCAATGCGCCTCTCACTCATCAGCGGCTCTCTCCACTGGGCAGCGTCCAGATGTGCCTCTAACTCTTGCAGTGACCCTTCAACGACCGGTATCTCTTCCTGTATATGCTGTGGCGCTTCTCCCAGTCCTCCCCCAGTATAGCGGTGGAACTCTACTGGCCCCAGTCCACCCTTGGGGTGCTCCCCCTTTCGTTCTGCCTCAGGTACGTCCTCCTTTTCTCGCCTAGCAAGCGCCTTCCGTCCTCTTCGTGAGGTTCGATCCTCAGCGGGCTCAGGTTCCCTCTGCCTACCGCTCTTGAGGCACCTTTCGACTCTAGGCCGAGGTGGTTCTGGCTGCCGGAATGCCGCCCTCAAGTGCGCTCTACAACCATCCCAATCTCGGGCCATATCCCTGATTTGTCTGGCCAAAGGTCTTTCCGCCTTTCGGGTCCACAGGGGTAACGTCGTCATCCACTCGCTTCGCAATATTCCCTAGTTCTGCATGAATTGCTCGAATGTCGGGATGAACTCCTCTGCATTCCCAATCTCTAGCCGAATAGGCTTTGCCATCAGGCCCCACAGGCGACGGTCGCAGTTCCTGCATCCGCTCCTCCACTTCCGACCTCGTTCGAGCCTCCCTGCGAATCTGTGCGATGGGCTCCATAAACCTGCTAACTCCCCTCAGCCTCTCAATTGTCTGAGTCATGGTCCATCCCATATGATCAGCGTGGCCCCAGAACTCGTCCATAAATAACTCGATATCCCTATCGTTATATACTGAAGTGCTCGCTCGACGGTAAGGCCCATGTCGTCCATGTCTTCCTGATGCTCCCACCGGCCGCCTTGGTGGCTGCGTTCCCCTCCCTCCTCTTGGCATGGCTGCAAGTCAGTCCTGCACAACAGGCGAAGGAGACAACAGGCACGCGTCGGGGTAAGCAAACAGGCGACAAAGAGACACACTCAGGCCGAACCAAGCACATGCCCCAAGCAATCCTCCTAATCTACAAACCCATCTACCCCTTTCTAGTGGAATTGGGTTGCCTATCTCACCTCTTCTCTGGCCACGAACTTCTTCAACCTCGTTCCTGACACCCAGTCTTTCCACTCTGTTCCATTTATCTCCTCGATCTGGTAGGCGCCGAACTCTCCGCATCGCACGATCCGATAGGGACCTAACCACCTCTTGTCCAGCTTCCTGGACCACTGTTTTTCCAGGGATGAATCATACAAGAGCACGACGTCCCCAACTACCAAGGGTACCTTTCTCACACGAGCCGACTGGTCCCAGCGAGCCTTATCATCCATACGGCTCCTCTCTACCTGGTCGGACGCCTCTTGGACCCTTTCCTCAATCGCGCCCACCTGCCGAGCTCGAATATCGAGCAGTTCTTCGAAAGACAGATTTACCTCCAAGTCTTTAGGAAGCTCTCGATTGGAAAGGTAGCATGTCTTCCATACCACAGTGTGGTCGGCGCGTACTTAGTGGTCCTCTTCACTGTGATGTTCTCAATGACGAAGGCAGCCCTCAGATACCTCAGTCATTGGCTAGGCTTACCTTCGGTCCATTTCGCTAGCAAGGCCGTAATGGTGCTATGCCCCCTTTCCACCAGAGCATTTGCCTGTGGGTGGGCGGCCGTAGTGTAGTTAGCCACTACCCCATATCTTGACAGCAGCTCTTGCACCTCCTGACAAGTGAACTCCGATCCCCTGTCCATTACGAATTCTCTAACGAACGGGTCGCGTAGGTAATACTCCTCGATGCAGCTGACCAGAACTGGCCCAGTCTTCGTACGGATTGCCCGTCCATCTACGAAGCCAGATAGGTTGTCGCGCGCATCGAAGATATAGTTGTAGCCATGATCTCCAAGGGACATGAACAATAAGTCGAGGTGTACTACGGCCCCGACCTCTCTCTCCAGCCTTGGATGCAGTGACTCTTCTGGCCTTAAACGAGACTGCTCCTGGCACGGCACACAGGAACGACAGAACTTCACAACCATCTCCATCATCCCGGCCCAGTAGTATAGCTCACTTATTTTGGCATATGTGGCAGTAATTCCCCGGTGCCCGCCTGCAATGCCATCGTGGAGCGCTGCTATGACGTCGATCTGATGGTTGCGACCACATACCACCCGCCCGGGGTTCCCTACTTTCCTTCTTACGAAGAGATGACCGTCCCTTACTAGGTAGCGATCCCTCATCATCTGCGCCCTACGGCTTGCGTCTCTATCACGCATCTCGCAGGATAAGAGAAACCCCAGCTCGAGGTAAATCCCATCATACTCCTCTGCGTGGAATGCCTCCTTGATCTCTCCCTCTTCAAACTCGTCATCCTGGCTCTCCAACACAGTATTTCTTCCCTCAGTCGGGTTTAGTGAGCTTTCCAGATCAAGGGACCCCTGTTGAAGCGCATTGACGAGGAGGTACATCCCTCCCATTAATTCCTCGTGGTGTTTTACCTTATCCGGACCCTCTTCTATCGTCAGTACCTCATCCACCATACAATGGCTATCTGCGAGTGCCAACTTGGTCATCCATTGGACGTCCTTACCACCCCAGGGATCCTCTTCTTCGAAAGGCTTGAGCACTAACTCAGCAATCCGCTCATACCCCTTAGGCGCGTGCCAGATAGGATGGCCAAGGCAGCTGGGGACTCGTGGGGACCACTTATTGATGTGGAGGCGGATGTCCTCGTCCTGGTTCAGAAAGCCATCAAGAGGGGGCGTATCCTCTACGGCTTCCCCGTCCTGCCTATCCCAGTTGATGCGACTTAACCCATCTGCACTGTTCTTGTTCCCTGGGATCCGTTCCAACTCGAAGTTGAACATCCAGATGTATGTCAACCACCTGGCAACTGTTGGATCAGACGGAACATAATTCCTCAGGGAGAAAGCCAGAGCCGTTGGGTCTACCCTTAAGATGAACCTCCTGCCGAAGATGTAGTTTCGAAAAATCCGCAGGCAATGAAGGACGGCAAGGGTCTCCTTCTTGAATTGAGAGTAGTTTTTTTCCGGCGTACACAGCGTGCGACTCTCAAAGCGCAATGGTCTCTCCTTCCCCTTGACGTCTGCTTGGATTAGAACTCCACCCAAGGTCGTCGGTCCTGCATCGGTCTCCACAATGAATGGTCTCGTCTCCGTAGCGTCATAATCGGGCGCTCCCAGTACCAACCCTCGTTCCCGGAACTCCTCCTTCATGTTGGCCACGGCCTCTTCCTGATGCTCACCCCAGGTCCATTCCTGATCCTAACGGACCAACTTCCTCAATTGCTCTGTCTTTGCCGCAAAGTTTTTGACGAAAGACCTCCAAAACCCACACGTGCCAAGGAAGCTCCTTACATCTCTTACAGAACGGAATGGCACCGGCCACTCAACTATCTTATCCGTCTTCTTAACATCCGTCTGCCGAGCGTTCTCATTACAGACGAACCCCAAGATAGTCGCTTCCCTCATACAGTACTTAGACTTAGGCCCACTGGCCGTAAGGTTGTGCTCCTCAAGCAAGCCCAAGACTTTATCAAGGTCCTGAACGTGCCTCCAGACAAACCGCCTTACTTCAGGCATGACCTCATCGTCTTCTCTTTTTCGCAGCCCTTTCACTGCCAGGTCATCGATGTATGGCTGTGTGATGTGTGGACTAACTGTCTGCATGACCCGGATCATATTCCTCTAGACCATTGCCACAGCATTCGTCCAACCTTGTGGAGCCACATTCATGTGGATGAGCCCTCGAGGCGTGTACATAACCGTCACTGGTCGGTCCGGCGGGTAGACCGAAAATTGGTCATATCCGGAATAGAGATCATTAAGTGAAATTATCGGCCTCCCAGCGCGCGATTCCGACAGTGCAACAGTATTTGGTAGCCCACCTGCATCCCGCACGGTCACTACATTCAGTCTCTGCAAGTCTTGTACCCACCTTAGTGTCTCATTAGGCTTAATAAAACGAAACCACGGGGATGCGTAGGGTCCGCTTGAGTAGTCGGCGACGTGCGTACGTATTTTGCCATCGAGGTAGTCCATTACCTTTTTCTCTTCGTCCGGATCTGGGTATTGTGCCCCTCTTAGATTCCATGGCTCGTGCGGCACAGTATGGATGCGGATCATGGGAATCTTGTGTACATCCAACCTGCCACGCTCCTCGTCGCTGAACGCATAGGCACGATGTCTTTTCTTCATCAGCTCCATCACCAGGGCTCTTTCCCGCGATAGTAGGAAGTCCGGTTCTCCCACTATCAACTTCCCTTTGTTTTCCTCATTGATACGGCACGGTCCTTCTGACGTGTTTTCCCTCATCCGCCGTATCAACGCTCGCTCTCGTTCGTAGTACACTTCCTCGTCCTCGGTAACCAGAACGGGAACAAGGCGGTACTTTTTGTCTATCGTTTTGTACCGCCTTTGGACACTCTGCTTGAGCCGGCCCCTAAAAAAGGTTGACTTGCCGCTCGTGCCTGTGCCTGTGCCACCGCCGGATCCATTCTCCCCTTAGGAAGCCGATAGACCAGCTCCATTTCCCCCACCTGGGGATAATCCAGAACCTGCTCCCTCAACGCCTGAGTGGCATCCGGATCGGCCATCTCGTGCGTGGCCACTATATCCATGGCCTTTCCCACATCCGACAGGCTGAGCGAGAAGGCCTCACCTCCTACCTCCTCCTCGGGCTCTGCCCTAAGCCTCCGATGCGCGTCTTCTGACTTTTCAATCGTGAAAGAGCCAGGGTTGGGCCTGTTCCTTAGGCTCCTTGACCCAGTGTTTCGGCAGGTAATCACTTCGTAATTCCCGCATGCTGGATCACATAAGATCAAGATCAATGACCCATCATGCTTATTATACATCAAGGTCTCTGTCCTGCATAGGAAGGACCTCCCCAGGAGGATGCTGTGGTCTACATCAGGCATCACAAAGAAGCAGGCCCGCGCTTTCACCCTGCCAATCTCCAGTACCACATTCGGGGCTGTTCCACAGAACACAACCTTGTTGTTGGCCCCGTGCAGGATGCCGCAGTCCGAGCGGTCTATCTCCAGTCCAAATCTGACGGCATCAGCCTCCCGGATAATATTCAGTTCGGCACCCGTATCTACCATGGCCGTGCACTTAGAGCCTTTTACCGCTAGGTCCACGACGCCACAAGCCACACACTTCCAATCCATTTTCGTCCCTGGCTCTACCCATTCCATCTCCTTGGGCAGGATCACGCTAAGGTGAATATTTGGTACTAGCCGCCTTGACAGTCTACCCTTCAGCTCATTTCGGAGCCTTGGCGCGGAAGCCAGGATCTCCTTGAGGGTCATTAAATCATTATGGCCCTCAAGCAGCCTGTCAATTACTCGCTCTACATCAAATCCCTCCTCTAGCCGGACCGCATACTTCTTCCTCTTTGGTGGTACGTCGCGCACAACCGGTTCGGCCTCTCCCCGACTTTCTCTTTTTTTGGCTCGCTGTTCGGCCCTCTGATCTTCCTCCTGACGTAATCGGTCATCTTCCCCCTCATCATCATCATCATCCTCTACCTCTACAGTTTTTTTCCCCTTTTCTGGTTCGGGTTCCTTGCGAGGAGGTTCTTGGCTCGCACCTGCCTTGGCTTGACTTCGAGTGCGGGCTGCCTGAGCCAGCCTAGCTTGCGGGGTAGGGGGCCTAGTCATCATCCTTGATCGCGGGCCCGTCCCCACAATGGTCACTTCGGACCGCCCCGGCATGGATTCCGGACCAGAGTCATAAGGGAAGACCTTGGGGAGGTTAGCCCTCCACTCCTTCACTTCCTCGCAGAGATCTACCAACTTCCGTTGGTATCTTCCTACCTTGGCAAATAAGTCCTCCATCTTATTCAGCAGGACTACCGCCGTCTCTACCTTTTCATCGTCACCTTCATCGTCCGACTCGATGATTATGGGTTTCTCTCTTACATCCCCGGCCTGTAGCCTCTGGGTTACTTCCTCGTCGCTTCCTACTTCCTCAACTCCAATTGGCAGTTCTTCCTTCTCCTGCCATAGCCTGAACGTGGCAGGGGGTGGTTGACGTGCTGCCAACCTTCGTTGGGCCTCCACCCTAACCCCACCAGCCTTCCTATCAATAAAATCTCCAAATTGGTCGTAAATGTCCCCATCCATATTAGAATAAATCAGTCCATTTTTCTCGTCCTCCCGCCTGATATTGCAAAACCGTATAGTGTGACCTTGCTGGTCACAATGCTGACATATGGCAGTCCTCCAATCAAATCGGGCCCTTCCACCGCCTTGGCCCCCTTGGTTGCCTTGGCCACCTTGATTGCCTTGGCCACCTTGGTTACCCCATTGGCCTCCTCGGCCACCACCATTCCTGCCACGTCCTCGTCCACCGCCCCTTCCCGCATTCCCTTGGTTCCCTTGGCCTTGACTACCACCACCCGCCACACTACCTTGCGATCTTTGTGTGGGCGTCGGCGTAGGTGGTACCGCTGGCTGGGTCTGGGCGGCGGGGTAGCTCAGGGGAGACATACTTGTTTGGGGCCCAGCGTAGGGTATTACCTGTCCAGACGGCGCTGGGCCACCCCAGGGTACAAAGGTGTTAATCAGGGGCCACGGCCAGTGCCCAAATGGTGGCACTGGTGCCTACGACGGGCCCGCACTACTTGATGGCCCGGACGAACTCAGAGATGCCGCTACCACTACTTGAGGCGCCTGGCCCTTTCCTGACCCTTGTCCGCCTTGTGCTAGATTGCGCTGCTTACGCTGCACCTTCGTAAGGTGTGGAGGTACCGGCTCCTCCGCTTCCCATCCTTCCTGGGTAGCCTCCTCCACCGCGGCTCCCTTGCCCTTTTCCTGGACTGCCGCCGTCACCTTCCGCTGTATCACCGGGTCCAGCCCTGCTAATACATCGGTGATAATCTTTTTTACTCCTGGCGTCCCAGCCGCATCCCTTTCCTTCCTCTTCTGCCTTTGCAGCCTCACTGGTGCTGCTCAACCTGGTCGAGGCTCCCAACCTCCACTCCTCTGTCAATGGTGGCCCAGGTAAGTTTGGCATTTCCTCCCCCATGGCTTGTTAGCTCAACTGTCTCAGATGCGGTGAGCGGTCCCAGGAAGACGGCGCACTGCGCCTCCTCCGATATCCCATGTACCTTTCGCGCCTTCTTTTTGAATTCTTGCAGGAACGCCCCAATGGTGGTGAAGTCGTCCCTATTCATTGCCTCTAGGTCCACCATAGTCAGCAGACCGTCTCCCAGCCTGTACTTCCGTTGCATCCCTTCCCTACATTTAGCCCAGTCGCCGTTAGCGTCGTCGACCACCTTCTGTACTTCCGGATGGTGCTTATGGAGCACATACTGCAGGATGCGTTTGAATTTTGTCTCGTCTGGTACTCCCACCAAGGCTTGCTCCACTAGGTCCAGCCACTCAAAGACCCGTTCCCCATTGAAGTGGAAGGTGTCGACTTTGGGGACACTTCTCGGCGTTCTCTCCCGCTTGTCCATCGCCTCGACGAGGTCATCGAGGGTCAGGACCTTGCCTGAACTGTCGCCTATGCCGCCTGTCATTTTAGCAGCTTGTCCTTCACTTTAACTTCCCTGTAGTAAGACGAGGTACAAAGGCAACTTTACTCAGCACTCTCACTCCAGCATAAGCCTATCGAGCTAACCACTTAGCTCTTGGGCGTTTCAGACTTTAACTAACACCCACGCCCCTTTCACTCCCAGACCTACATTCACAAGGTCTACCTAAGCTGTGAGTTTTTCCACATAGTTACTATAGTTATCCAATCTCTCCTATAGCCCTACTTATAGACTCACTTCGAATCCCCCACTCATGCCTGATTTCTTCCTTATCCTAATACCCGGATGTCATTCCACCAGGGATAACGGCAGGCAACCGTCATCCCCGGCAACGGCGCCACCTGTCGAGCGCATCGGTCCGGCACCACTCATAGGTAGCGCGGGACCCTCCCGGCCGCGTCACGCAGGAGTTGGACCAACCTTGCTGCGAACACATAAATGGAGCTTCCTTAGGCCGCTTCGGCCGGGTGCGCCAGCCATACCTCTCGCGAGCCCCTACGACAGGACAGGGCCTACGCGAGGCACGACTACCTCCACCTTACGGAAGTGGTCACCTCCTTTCGGTGGGCGTATCCCCGCCGAGCTACCAGTCCACAGTACGAAAGTTGATCAGCTGCAATCGCAGAGGTGGACCAGCCGAGGGTGTTTCTCGTTCGCTGTAGCATAAGGGGTATGCGCGGTACTACGCCTCTTTCGGACCCGCACGCGAACCGACATCGTGGGGGGCTGAGGTCCTAAGCGCAGGTCGTCGCCGGTCGACTAGGACGCATCCCACACGCCACGCGCACACCACTATAAGGTACATAAAAGTAAAGCACACGCACACACTCACACAAGTACTGAACAACGCAAAGGACATACAACGCGACACCCTCCTAGTCCCTTAGTATCCATCCCATAACTTCCTGGTGGGGGAATCGGCTGAGCGTCGAGCGCAAGACTTAATATAAAGCCGCGCGGGCGTAGGTTTTCCCATATCGACTAGCAATGCCAACGCACACAAGCAGTCGCGAAGATGGCGTACTATGCAGTGCCCAAAATCGAGCGGTCCCTCGTGGATCCGAGTACCGCTTATGACACTCACGTGTCAGACTCAGAGTATCGTGAAGGTTCCGCCCTTCACGACATTGTACGGCTGAAGGACTAGCCGTGCGGCCGCCGCGGCACGTCCGGCTTTCGGCCCGAGCGCCCTGGCGGTCAAGGCAAATAGGCTCTGCCCGAGGGGGATCCCCTTTAGTGCAGGGCCCAGGGCTTGGGATGTCCTCGACAAGGACCTTGAATCCCGGCCCAAGACCAACGTCCGACTAGCAATCTCCAAGAAGCACTTATATAAGTAATGGGGTCATCCTTTCTCTACTAGCCCAGCCCCTGATTAACTCCTTAGCACGCGGCCCCTTTTAGGCCACACAACTACCCTACATAGGTACGCATACATACATATATACACACATATGCACACATATGGGAATGAACGTGTGACGATCACATCTCACAATCAAAGTGGGTCTCCTCATGCACATATATAAGATCGCCGGGCAGTCCAATCCAATAATCCAAGCCACAGAACATACCTGCAATCACATCAAAGAGTCAAGCACAAGTCCATACACTACAGTGACTACACGGAGTCAACTTCAACCAATATCTATGCTCATACCCTTTGCCTCAGCCATGCAAGCCCCAACCTCCAGCCAACCAACCTTAAGTAAATACTCAGTACCTTTGTTGAAAGGCCATTCAATAAAAGTCCGGGTGAAACCTTAACAAAACAGAAAAGATCACCAGGGTTAAAGCCTTTGTAGTTTGAGTAAGGAGAGTGGGCTGGGGTTGAGTCGTAAACCGACGAATCGACAACCGACCTGTTATCTGTGATAACCAGGGTTGTCGAGCCCCGGCCCCGGGGCCCCGGCGGGGTTCCGGGTTCCGGGGGTGGGCACCCCCAACCCCGGCTCCAGAACCCCCC